TAGAACAACATCAAATCATGTGGTTTGGTAAAAAGGCGTTTGGTTCACTCATGCGATGCCAAAATATTATTTTTGCTCATGACTAGCTATTATGCATACGCATTGATGTATTGAGATTTTTACCATTGTCGATTTTAGTTTTCAAAATGTTTTTAGTGTCTTATCCATTCTTTTTTTAGTTTGGAGTGAGTCATTTCACATTAAAAGACACTTAGAAGCAGAATTGGAGTTTTTGGGCAAAACCAAAATAACTAGGGCCAAAACGGGAGGATCAATTGACATCATGTGTAATCTATCGATATGCACATAAAAAAAAACGAGTAAGAAAAAAGAATACTACGAAAGATAGGATGTAATCATTATTATCCCAAAACGATGGAAACGGCACAAAAGGCTGGAAGTGAACGATAGCAATTCATCGAAAGACCCAAATTTGATAGATAAAAATTTAGTTGAGAACCACTGAGAAGAAGTGTATATCATTGACTAATTTATCCAATTTTGCGGAATATGTTCCTCTAAACCTTACTTATGGATAAATAATAATTTTCTGGATATGTAACCGTAATTTAATATAGTAAAAAATATTTTTCTAGAAAACTTTTAAAAAATGTTGCTAGGAGAATTTGGATTTTTTGATTACGGATTGATCATTGCTTTAATCTTATAATTTTCAATTTATTTCTCGTAGGGTTCCTCATACTACCATTCGATTAACTCATTTAGAACACACTCTGAGATCAACCATGTATATTAGATTAGAGTAATGAATGATGTGTTCCATATCTTATTGACGAGGGTGCAAGATATGTTCCATTGCATGTTAGAACGTAATAAGATAAATTCTAGACGTTAGCTTCTCTTATAGACGTGAGGTAGTTTTGAGATTCTTGAATTGGATAAATGTGGAGGGTGTGTATTTAAAATCATATCGTGAATGGAGATATCTAATAAATAAATATATTTATGTAATATTTTGAAAACAAATACATATGTTTTTTGGAGAATATAAATATACAAATATCAATTATATATATATATATATATATATAAAAGTTGGTCAACTCTCTGCATATGAGTTTTATCTTATCGATGCAGCATATGCTATGTATCCACCAAATGATTAATCTAAACTCTATATATTCCATTTCAAAGGTTAATAATAAATTTATTATTAATTGTTCATATTTAATGGTACCAATACTAATTCTATTTTCTTATTTATATATTTTTTTCAATAAAATTGGTTTTTGGTTTTCTCATACTCCTTTAGAATCCTTCGCTTCGCCAATTTTTTGTACTATTAACTTAAAATACGACTATATGAGTAAATAATATAGTTAGTTATCTAATGGTTTGAGTAAGTTATTCTTATTAATGTCTATCTAAATCATATATTACTGATGGTGAGGAGTACATAAGAGGAGCTCCATCATCAAATTTTTTAGATTTCTAAATCTCAATATTATCATTCATGAAATTGGTTTTCTCAAAGTTGGATGTACGGTTGAACGGGATACTACAAGATGCGTATCGTGGAAAGAGACTGTCCAGGTTAGGCGGGCTGCCCTTTCCTTTTTCGCCGAAGAATTTTCCGAAGATTGTGTGAATGATACAGTGCTGAGAAGGTTGGTAAAAAAATTATTTTGATATTTAAATGATTGTACGAGTAAATGATTAAAAATTAAAAAATTACATTTATCAAAACATGAAATCAATTTTTTTTAAAAAAAACAAAAAATAGAAAAAACCTGTGGCCTAGGTAATCGATCACCTAGTATTAATAAAAGATATTCCTATATTTGACTAGTTTTAAAATGTCAAAAGTGTGATTTTACCAAAATAAAATTGATTAGCCTCATTGAAATAATTTTAACCCCAAAAACACATCTATATATTATTAGAGCACAATCGTTGCATTGGGAAGCACACCTTTCTCTCTCACTTGGTAAAGTTTTTCTAGATCTAGGGTTTCGTTTTATTGAGCTTCATCTTCGGCGGCGGATTTGCAAAGGAGGATCAGGGGTGAGCAAGCTCTTTCTCCGACAACGGGGTGTGGTTTCCTCCCCTTTCGAGGTAGTTGTGGCTCCGGTTGGGATGGTTGAGAAGCTCTGGAGCTGTGGCTTTCCGGTTGAGGACGCTGGAAGGTTTGCCTGGAAGTCTTCTCGCGGCTCTGCCATCTTCACAGTCGATGCGGCTACAGCGGAACTCGGAGGGGTTTAGGTGGGAAGCGTTGTTTCGTCTGGTGGTTAGCTGCAGATCTCTGATCTTCGAGGGCTATCGCAGATTCCGAAGTCTAGGTGTACGTCTGAGCCATCGACCCTTGAATCCGCTGCGGTTTCGCATCCACCGGACCGGATTGAAAGTTTTGTGCTCTGGAGGTTTGAAGGTGTTCGGATCTGGAACGGAGGGGTTTGGTCTCAGTGCGACATATTGCTTGGTCAGGATATGTCGACGTAGAGCCGGTGTGTTGGAGAGTCGAGTTTTCTGGGAGGTTTGTAGCGGGAGTGGCGAGTCGACGGTGAGGTGCATCGTCGGAAACTGGTTTCTTCCAACGGGGTTTTCAATCCTTCTTCTCTGCCTCAAAGCCGTGGACCTTGAAACCACCGGATCTAATGCGACTGACTCTCTGCCACCGGTAACCAACAAGATCCGAGCTTCCGTTTTTATTTCCGGCGACATTTTTCCGATTTCCTTTTTGTACCTGGTTTCAAGTTTGTAAGGCCCAAGGCCCAGCCCATTAGGATTTTAAAAAATAAATATTATATTAAAAAAAATAATAATAATAATTTTAACCCAAAAAAATATACATCACAAAATTGACCCGACCCGTTTTAAATTAGTAACGTACCCTGATCCGACCCGTACCGGGTGGTTCTTTCTTATTTTGTGGTCGTTAACACAAGACCGGATAAGTGGAAGAGAGAAATTCGCGACCGTTATTTATTTGGGAGAGATAGTTAGAGATAGAGAGAGAGAGAATCAAAACAATGGCCACTGTGAAAATCTCTCTTTCCTTTGTTTCACTATCACCATCTTCTTCTTCTTCAACTCAATCTAAGTTATCACCATCTTTCATCCCCAATGCGGCACCTTCGCCGGCTAAGTTGCGATTCAATGGTAAGTGCCTGAGAGCAAAACCAATGGTACACAGAGCATCTCGCTCCGGCGGAATTACCTGCTCTGCTACATCCTCTCCGATGACTCTTCCCTCTGCTCTTCTCTTCGATTGCGATGGCGTTCTTGTTGATACCGAGAAGGACGGTCACAGAATCTCTTTCAACGACACTTTCAAAGAGGTTTCTTTCTCAGTTTTTTGTTCCCCTTGATTTTTGTTCATTTAGCTTCGGAGATGATTTTGGAATCTTTTGCAGAGAGAATTGGATGTTACTTGGGATGTTGAGTTATACGGAGAGCTACTTAAAATCGGTGGTGGTAAAGAAAGGTATACAATCAAAATTGCATTTACTAATACCAAGATTTGAGTTATCAAGTTAGTCTAGTTTGAATGAAATTGGAATGGCTTTCTTTTTGTGTAGGATGACGGCGTATTTTAACAAGGTTGGTTGGCCAGAGAAAGCTCCTAAAGATGAAGCAGAGAGGAAAGAGTTCATAGCTGGACTTCACAAGCAGAAGACTGAGCTTTTCATGGTTCTCATCGAGAAAAAATTGCTTCCGCTTCGACCCGGTGTTGCAAAGTTAGTGTTACTTCTAATCTATAGTCTTGATGCTATCACTTGCTCTTGAGATTGATTTTGTTAAAAGTTTAAAACTTTAACCCAAAACAATGCTTAGCTAAGCTTATTTTGTAAGGCTAGTTATATCTTGTAGTAATCATATACATGTTCTGGTTTGTTTTGGAAATCTAGTAGGTTTTAGGTTAACTGAGTCTTCTTCTTGCTAAAACTTTGCAGGTTGGTTGATCAAGCTTTAACGAACGGAGTAAAAGTAGCGGTGTGCAGCACTTCAAATGAGAAGGCGGTATGATCAATCAGGTTCTACTACTTCAGTTTCTTGCGACCATAACCACATATCTCAGTATCTTGTGTCCTGATGAGTTTTCGTAAACAAGACTACGCAGCTGCATCGTTAACAAGGATCTGCGAGAATCGTCTAGCTTAGAAGAATTGTATAGTAATCTTATGGGAAATACTTTTTCTCATTTCTTGCCTGCTTTTTTCAGGTTTCTGCTATAGTTTCATGCTTGCTTGGACCAGAACGAGCAGAGAAAATCAAGATTTTCGCAGGAGATGTAGTCCTCAAAAAGAAACCTGACCCGGTAAGTTACTCACTTTCCATTCTATCACAACATGTTTTGCTTACTTCATCTTGGTTAAGGACCGAGTTATCAAACTTTTTGTTTCTTAACAGGCCATCTACAACTTAGCAGCTGAAACCCTTGGAGTTGATCCCTCAAAGTAAAGTGTTACTAAGATTCTTTACAGGAGAGAATGACTCAGTTTAGAATCTCTCTAAAAAATTGGCTTTGTGTATGTGCAGATGTGTAGTGGTCGAAGACAGCGCCATCGGGCTAGCAGCTGCAAAAGCTGCGGGAATGACTTGTATAGTTACAAAGAGTGGGTGAGTTTTAGTAGAGAGCCCTCTTCTGAAAACATCATATCAATCAGAAATGAAATGATCATTCATCTTTGGTATTTTAGATACACGGCGGACGAAGATTTCGAGAATGCAGATGCGGTTTTCGACTGCATTGGAGACCCTCCGGAGGAGAGATTTGATTTGGCATTCTGTGGAAGTCTTCTCCAGAAACAGTTCGTTAGTTAAAATAACACAAACCACATTGAGAAAATTGTTTCTATCTCAACATTGGTGTGTATAGTCATTGAAGAGAAACATTCATGTAAAACCATATGATTCGATTATATACATAATGAACAAAAGCGTTACACTATATTGGGCTTGTGAAGAGTGTTGTTGGGTTTACTATGTGAACTTCGAGGATACAACAAACGCCGAAACACTAAGGTTGAGTCTTTTTTGACGGGACAACGTAAAGTTGGTTCCTTTTGTTCAAGTTAGTATCTAAATTTTGATGAATTGAGTTTTATCTCCATAAAGCCACGAAATTGCTAAAGCTATGAAGCGATTCTTTAAGCCCATAGAGAAGGAGGGTTCAACGGCGGCTAAGAAACCCTGCCTCTCGCCGGAAAAGCGTGAAGGAGACGGAGATGGAGTTGAAGAAGAGAAGAACCAGAAAGAGCCGTCCAAGTTTGTGACGTGGAACGCTAATAGCTTCCTCCTTCGGGTGAAGAATGACTGGTCTCAGTTCTCTAAGTTCGTCTCCGATTTTGACCCGGATGTCATCGCAGTACAGGTGATTTCTTTTGCTTCTTTTTTGGATTCTCTGGGTTGATTTCAAGCAATGTGGGTAAATGGGTTTAGGTGTTTGTGTGTGGAACTTTAAAACCCTCTAAATCTTCTAGGGTTTCATTGAAGTGGTTTGAGTTCAACTTGTTGATGCAAAACTCAGTCATTTATGACATTGAAAATTGTTGGTGGTGCAAAGGATCAGTCTTTACTTCAATTTGTTTGTGACTATGATGGTGCTGTTGATTCTTTTAGTGTCATTGTGTTCTGCGGTCAGATTATGAGCTTAGTGGTTGACTGTGTTCTTAATGTTAGGAAGTAAGAATGCCTGCTGCTGGTGGGAAGGGAAAACCAAAAAATCCTGAAGAGTTGAGTGATGACACGAAAGTTCTGCGTGAGGAAAAACAGGTACCATAGTTCTGTATGGACTGGCTTGTTTTATATGTTAATATCTTTATTATAATATGAACGGAACAAGAATTTTCATAGCTCTGTATTTTGATGCCTTTGCAATTCCTAAGAGATTTTGGTGTATGAGTTAGAATCAACATTGCAGTTAGGAACTTAACTTGTTGTCCTAACTGCAGATTTTGACAAGGGCTCTCTCAAGTCCACCTTTTGGAAATTATCGAGTTTGGTGGTCTCTCGCAGACTCAAAGTATGCAGGGACAGCTTTGTTAGTGAAAAAATGTTTCAAGCCCAAGAAAGTTTACTTTAACCTGGACAAATTAGGTATATTTGAAAACCTTGTTGCTGTTCCTTATCATCACATAAATCTCTTGCACACTAGCAGTTTGGAACCATGTTCTTTTATCTGTCTTGTTATGGTTCTGCCATTTTCTTGACCTCAAAGTTTATGTACTTGGCAGAAATATATCATAGCTAGATCAGAGTGATGACTAACTTATATACTTGTCGCTCTCATTCAGCATCTAAACATGAACCTGATGGTCGTGTTATCTTAGCTGAATTTGAGACATTTCGTCTTTTGAACACGTATTCACCTAACAATGGTTGGAAAGAGGAGGAGAATTCGTTTCAGAGGAGAAGAAAATGGGACAAGAGGATTGTTGAGTTCCTCAACAAAACATCTGATAAACCTCTGATATGGTGTGGCGACTTAAATGTCAGGTAATGAGGAAGTTTTTTCTACATCTTCTCTTGCTATATACTCTTTTCCTTAAAGCCTTTCAGAATTACAGACTAAAAGTTGATGTTATTTCCTCGATTCGATTTCTGTAATATGCAGTCATGAGGAGATAGATGTTAGCCACCCAGAGTTTTTCGCAACAGCAAAGCTTAATGGTTATGTTCCACCAAACAAAGAGGTAAGAAGTGCCAGATTTTGTACGATTTTTATCAAAAAACAGAGCTGTCTCTCGATAATGTTATGTTTCCATCGGCCTTTGATTTTCTCTTTCTTTCTTGTCTCTACATCTGCATTCTGACCACTTATTTGTGGATGACTTTACTACGCCTGAACCGAAAGCTTATCCGTGAGATGGACTTTAGAATCACACAATGACTACAGTGGTCGATTCTTCTGATTATGCAGGACTGTGGACAGCCTGGATTTACACCATCTGAGAGACGACGCTTCGGGGAAACTATGAAAGAGTATGCATAATATGTCTTTGCGCTGCGAAGTCTTAGTAGTAGTACTTTCTAAAATAGAGATTATAGTTACTGGACATGTGATTCTAATTATATATTCATGGGAACTGTTACAGAGGAATGCTTGTTGATGCATACCGGTATCTACACAAGGAGCAAGACATGGAAAGTGGCTTCTCATGGTCGGGGAATCCCATTGGAAAGTGAGTGGATACTACACATTTTAGTTGTATTTTTCACATGGCATGGAGTCCAGAACCTCCTCCTCATGTTTATAAAGCTGTATATTGATTTTCTTTTGGTTGCCATAGGTACCGGGGAAAGAGAATGAGGATCGACTATTTTCTGGTCTCTGAACAACTCAAAGACCGTATAGTTTCTTGTAAGATGCACGGTCGTGGGATAGAACTAGAAGGTGCCATAGATAAATCTGTTCATCACACAGATTCATAGAAGACTATCATTTAGCTCTTTTGCAACAACTTGGTTCTTGATTTGTTTCAGGTTTCTATGGGAGTGATCATTGTCCGGTTACACTGGAGCTTTCAAAGCCATCTTCAGAAACGGAGCAGAACCAGGTTTCTAACTAAAAATCATCTTCTTCTGTATCAGAACATAAGCCTTCTTCGACTCAAGCCAAAGCTTATGTTATCAGAGTTAATTTAATGTTATTGAGACACTTAGCCGTGTTACTCAGATGAACTCTCAAAGGTACTTATAATTATTGTTGTGCTTATCTTAATATGCTTTATTTTCCTAAGAAATGTAAGGTATTTTTAATTGTGAATTTTCATTTAATTATTTTTATTTATTAACTTTTGATAAGTGCTCATTTCTAAAGATTTGGAGCTTTTGTTGGTGTATTTTAAGCATTGTATACCCTTTGCTTTATTTTTCTAGTCGGTGGGTAGAGAGGCCAACATTCGTTAAATCAAGGGATCATATTCATAAAAATCAAATTTGGATTCAACAAAACAAACACAATATATATGAACATTTACATTATGCAATAATTTCATTAAATACTAAAGACTAAAAAAATGTTTAATGAGAAAAATCTATTTAAAAACTTTTTTAGTCCATAATCAATTTTACTCTTAAAATTGGGAATTTTGTTTGGTTTTAAAGAGGAGTTTTTGAATGTGCAAACGGATTTACAGAGAGGACAACAACAAATGTGTGTGTGAAATGGCAGAATCGTAAATAGTAACAAATCACTACCCTTTTAAAAACAAAAACTTTCTCTCTCTCTCACTAGTAAGTGTTCTTTACTTGTTTTAATACTGAGAGATATCACAATCTCTTGCTCTGCCCAAACCCATCCCAACGAGACCCATGTATTTTTTTCCTCTGTTTCTTTAATCCAATAAAAAACAGAGAGAGACCTAAGAAACGAGATCAAAGCCTCGTCGTTTTTTTCGAGGAAAAGTGAATGACCCCTTTAAGAAAATAAACTCTATTGGCCGGAGAAATGGTGGAGACTCGTCGATTCTCTTAAAAATTTGTTTTTTTTTTTCCTCTTCAAACTTTGTTCTGTTTATGCTCTGTAATGGCGTATTAATTTGATACCCAGAAGTTAAAGTGAACAAATTTTGAGAGAAAGGCTTTTTTTTTTTTTGTTCTTCCCTGTGTGTGAGAGAGAGATATGGCGGTTTCAGAGCAGAGTCAAGACGTGTTTCCATGGCTTAAATCGTTACCGGTTGCTCCAGAGTTCAGACCTACTTTAGCAGAGTTTCAAGATCCGATCGCTTACATTTTGAAGATTGAAGAAGAAGCTTCTAGATATGGAATCTGTAAAATTCTGCCTCCACTGCCTCCTCCTTCTAAGAAAACCTCGATTTCTAACCTCAACCGTTCTCTGGCGGCAAGAGCGGCGGCGAGGGTTCGTGACGGCGGCTTTGGCGCGTGTGATTATGACGGTGGTCCCACATTCGCCACGCGGCAACAGCAGATCGGGTTTTGCCCTAGGAAGCAGCGTCCGGTGCAGAGACCTGTGTGGCAGAGTGGAGAGGAGTACTCTTTTGGTGAGTTCGAGTTTAAAGCTAAGAACTTTGAGAAGAACTATCTCAAGAAATGTGGTAAAAAGAGTCAACTCTCTGCCCTAGAAATCGAAACCCTTTACTGGAGAGCAACAGTGGATAAACCCTTCTCTGTTGAGTATGCCAATGATATGCCTGGCTCTGCATTTATCCCTCTGAGTTTGGCTGCTGCGAGGAGGAGAGAGTCTGGTGGTGAGGGAGGAACAGTTGGTGAGACTGCTTGGAACATGAGGGCAATGTCTAGAGCCGAAGGATCATTGCTTAAGTTCATGAAAGAGGAGATCCCTGGAGTTACATCACCAATGGTGTATATTGCTATGATGTTTAGTTGGTTTGCTTGGCATGTGGAGGACCATGACCTTCATAGTCTCAATTACTTGCATATGGGTGCTGGTAAGACTTGGTATGGCGTGCCAAAGGATGCTGCTGTGGCTTTTGAGGAGGTGGTTAGGGTTCATGGTTATGGTGGAGAGCTCAATCCTCTTGGTGAGTATCTTGTGAAAGGTTAATTAGTGTTATGTGTGAGTGACTCATAGTTACTCAATGTTTCAATTCCTTGTTCTGATTGTTGGCTTTGGTGTGTCTCTGTCCTTTTTGTTGCTTTTAACTGCTTTTTTTTTTGTCCTCCAAAAGTTGTCTGGGGAAGAAGCTGCTTATGTAGCTGTATGCAAGAAAACTAAATGGTTATGCCTCTTATGTTGTTGTCTTATCAGTGACATTTTCTACTCTTGGTGAGAAGACAACTGTGATGTCTCCTGAAGTATTTGTTAAAGCCGGAATACCATGTTGCAGGTAATGGTTTTTAATGTTCGTGCTCTGTTTATCTCATCATCTTGTTGTTTGCATTTCTCTTCTTTGGTCTCTTTTCATTGATTGGAAAATCCAGAGACCCACTTTTTTTTTCTCCTGGTTTTTCACGCAAGTGGTTTGTTTGTATCAGATTAGTGCAAAATCCTGGAGATTTTGTCGTCACCTTTCCGGGAGCTTATCATTCGGGATTTAGTCATGGTGAGTAAGCAACCTTTATTTAGTGTCTTCAAGTTAACCATTCAAGGCTTATATTATCCAAAAAAACAATCTTGGGGGTTATACAGGATTCAATTTTGGAGAAGCATCTAACATTGCAACTCCCGAATGGTTGAGAATGGCTAAAGATGCTGCTATCCGGCGAGCTGCAATAAATTACCCTCCAATGGTTTCTCATCTCCAGCTACTTTATGACTTTGCATTGGCTCTAGGTTCTAGGTACACTTTCTTTTTTATAGACACATTCAAACTTTTTAAGCTGCTTGAAGGGCTCATATAGGGTTTGTTTCACTCATTGCAGAGTGCCAACAAGCATCAATGCGAAACCACGGAGTTCTAGATTAAAAGATAAGTTAAGAAGCGAAGGAGAAAGATTGACCAAAAAGCTATTTGTGCAAAACATTATCCACAACAACGAATTGCTTTCTTCTCTCGGAAAAGGATCCCCAGTGGCCCTTCTCCCACAGAGTTCCTCAGATATATCAGTTTGTTCTGACCTGCGAATCGGATCCCATTTGATAACCAACCAGGAAAACCCAATCCTATTAAAGTCTGAGGACTTAAGTTCTGATAGTGTTATGGTTGGTCTCAGTAACGGTTTAAAGGATACAGTTTCAGTGAAAGAAAAATTTACATCCTTATGTGAAAGGAGCAGAAATCACCTAGCAAGCAGGGAGAAGGACACTCAAGAAACTCTATCTGATGCCGAAAGGAGGAAAAATGATGGAGCTGTTGCACTTTCTGATCAAAGGCTTTTCTCTTGTGTTACATGTGGAGTCTTAAGCTTTGATTGTGTAGCTATTGTTCAACCTAAAGAAGCAGCAGCTAGATATCTCATGTCTGCAGATTGTAGCTTCTTCAATGATTGGACAGCTGCTTCCGGATCTGCAAATCTTGGTCAGGCTGCTAGATCACTTCATCCGCGTAGGTTACATGTCGCACTTTCTGTTAATGGCTGTTATTTTAGCATTTACTAACTTTGTTTCATCATGCAGAAAGTACCGAAAAGCATGATGTAAATTACTTCTACAATGATCCTGTTCAAACTATGGATCATTCAATGAAGACTGGCGATCAAAGAACTTCAACAACTTCCCTGACAATGGCGCATAAAGATAATGGTGCTCTTGGGCTGTTAGCTTCGGCATATGGAGACTCTTCTGATTCCGAGGAAGAAGGTCAAAAAGGCTTAGATGTCCCTACTTCCGAAGGGGAAACGAAAAAGTATGATCAAGAAGATGCAGATGGCAATGAGGAGGCTAGAGATGGTCGAACTTCAGATTTTAACAGCCAGAGACTTACCAGCGAACAGAATAGGTTAAGCAAAGGCGGAAATTCATCACTTCTGGAAATAGCTTTACCATTTATTCCAAGATCTGATGACGATTCATGTCGGTTGCACGTGTTTTGTCTTGAGCATGCTGCGGAAGTGGAACAGCAACTTCGTCCTTTTGGGGGGATTCACATAATGCTACTATGCCATCCAGGTAACAGCAAAACTACACGAATCATTTTTATTAGTCTTGTGACTTGGTTTGTTTTTTTCTGTATTTATAAGGCAAATTTTTTAGTCTTTTTCATCATTTAGAGTCACAATATTTGCAGAGTACCCCAGGATAGAGGCTGAAGCAAAGATAGTTGCCGAAGAGCTTGTCATAAATCACGAATGGAATGATACTGAATTCAGGAATGTGACCCGAGAGGATGAGGAAACGATTCAGGCAGCGTTGGATAATGTGGAACCTAAGGGTGGGAACAGTGATTGGACTGTAAAATTGGGTATTAACCTTTCTTACAGCGCTATTCTCAGTCGCTCTCCTCTGTACAGTAAGCAGATGCCGTACAACTCTGTCATATACAATGCATTCGGTCGCAGCTCTCCAGCAACAAGCTCACCCTTGAAACCGGAAGTCTCTGGTAAAAGATCTTCCAGACAGAGGAAATATGTTGTTGGAAAATGGTGTGGTAAGGTTTGGATGTCGCATCAGGTACTATTGTCTAACCTGAAACCATACTAATTCAGACATTAGTACACTTCTATTTCTGCTTGATTTGGTTCAATATTAAGACTCCTTTTTCTTTTCTTTCTTCAGGTGCATCCCTTTTTGCTGGAGCAGGACTTAGAGGGGGAAGAATCTGAAAGGAATTGTCATCTGCGTGGTGCTCTGGTTGAGGATGTCACTAGAACGGGATTGCTTCCTTGTAATGTCTCTAGAGATGCAACTACAATGTTTGGAAGAAAGTATTGTAGGAAGAGAAAGGTCAGGGCAAAGGCTGTGCCACGCAAGAAGCTGACTTCTTTTAAGAGGGAAGATGGAGTTTCTGATGACACATCAGAAGATCATTCTTATAAGCAGCAATGGAGGGCTTCCGGGAATGAGGAAGAGTCTTATTTTGAGACAGGGAATACAGTTTCTGGTGATTCGTCAAATCAAATGTCTGATCAGCAGCTCAAGGGAATTCGTCGACACAGGGGTGTTAAAGAATTTGAGTCGGATAATGAGGTTTCAGACCGTTCACTTGGGGAAGAATATACTGTAAGGGGATGTGCAGCTTCAGAGAGCTCAATGGAGAATGGCTTTCAGCAGTCAATGTATGATGATGATGATGATGATGATGATATCGACAGGCACCCTAGGGGAATTCCAAGGAGCGAACGGATTGCAGTTTTTAGGAATCCAGTTTCATATGATTCAGAAGAAAATGGCATTTATCATCAAAGGGGAAGAGTATCCCGAAGTAATAGGCAAGCTAATCGAA